TTTTATGAGTTCTTCTCAGCAATCAAACAAACGCATAACATTTCCGGTTTTTTTTGGTTTAGTTTCAGAAGAAGATAGGCTTAAATTTTGATTTTTTTCTTCTGTTTTTATTGAAAATCTTGAAAGGGCAAAAAAAAAAAAAGAACTTATTTATTGAAATCCAAAGTTGGGACTTTAATATATATTGAATTATCAAGTGCCTCTATTTGAATGTAAAACGATGATGTGATAGGAATACTGAATGGATGGAAACTGACTACAGCATAACCCGCATAGGTCGAATGCAGATTACTCAAAATCACGCGTCTGTTGAATTGAGCCTGCGGTTCTGTTTTTTCTTCTTCTTTATCTTTGTAAGAAAATTACGCGCAGCTGGAAGACTAACTCAGAATAGTCGAACTAATTACGCTGCCATAGAGGTCTAAAGTCATTGTCTTTTGAGGTGCACTTGAGACAAAATAATAATAGGCCTAATCATTTTTATTTAAAAAATGGAAAAAGGCAAGGTCGGTAAAATACCCCACCCCCCCTCCACAGAAGCAGCTTACTGCTTTTTTTAGCGCGCTTCTCGACACGCGTTCCCTCTGTTCGAGTCTAGGTCCTATAGGCTTAGCTAGGCTTGTGTGGAGTGGGCGAGAGGAGGGGTTGTGCGTCACACGACCAGCCGCCCCACCCCTCTGTGCAAAAGACTGCGCGCTTGGTGGGAGGGGTCAGGTAGGGCTGCATTGTTTCGTTATCGCGTTGTTGATTACTGTTATGATATGCTTATTTGTCAATTTGTTTTTTTTGGAATAATTTGGAAAGGTACCATTCGATTGGTGCAGACTAAAAACCGCTCACACTGAACTGCGCAATGAAACTCTTGGTACTGGTAGACTCATTACCGATCAAACTCGGAAGCGTGGCTCATCGTGTTTCTTATTCTCAATCTGTTAATTTCAAATTCTCCCAAATTTCAAAGTGAGTGGTTGGTGGGTGCTCTGGTGTGGTTTGCTGCTTCTTTCCGGTCAAACATCTATCTTCCTTATCTCCCCTCCTTCTTTTTTATGTTTGTTACTCTCTTGTAACACCTCTAATCTTCTGGCGCTCATATGACCTTATGCAGTTGCGAGCGCCGTAAAACCTCTACTAAAACAAACAAATTTCAAATTCAAGTCAATAGGCACAGATCTAACCTATCTAAGGACAATGGCCGAAAAAAGAAAAATCTCTGTACCGACCCAATCCTTGTGGCTTCCCTTGATTCTCTGACACAGCTTATGCCATAACACTGTTCACGTACCCTAGACCTACTGAGGCCAGTCCCGACGAATTCGAGCTATCCGTGTTATACTGTATGTTGCAGAATTTGAAAAGTTATACAAAATTTCCAAAGAGGCCTACCTTTTCCATGTTACCATAGCAACCATAGGGTCAATTATTAAAAATAATTGTTACTATCTATTTGATATTGTGTGGCTTATCAGTGTGCTACACCAGATACATTTCCATATCTGTCCCCGTCATTTTATGCAAGAAAAAATAATGAAATTATGCAAAACGGTTTCAAAAATATGAAATTGTGTGGTTTTGTTAATTTTAACAGAGTGATAGAGGAAAATAAGAAACTATGCAAAAAATGATCAAATTTTACTAAATTATGCGGGGTGCATAAAACCAAGAGGACTGCCATATGGAAGTAAAGGTGTGAGAATTCCCACCTGTAGACAGCCTTGCAAATTTTGTTTCTTTGATTATGTTTTTTTTAGTCATTTGTTGATTCTTGTTTTTGTTCTTGGTCCCAGGGTACAATTCTGGCTTGCATCATGCTAGGTAAGTTGGTCAAGCTCTCTGCTGTCATTTGAAATGTAGTTGTTTGTTTTTTTCCTACAATATTTTACTTTATTTGTAGTGATGTGTCATCTGGCAGATTGGAAATTTAAAGTTTTGTCTGATATTTTACTGATTTTAGAGTTGGTTGCGGCCATTTTATTGAGAGTGTGTTTTAACGTGAAAGAGATAAATAGATCTGGGGGGGGGGTAAGTGTTTTACGGCGCTCGCAACTGCATAAGGTCATATGAGCGTGCGGGACACACCTAATACTTTTTAGTAGGTAGGAAATTTTGAATTTTGCCCGGGTGGCGGCCGAAGCCTACTCTTATCAATTTTAGACCACCAAGGGATCTTTAACGTGCACAACTTGCTCATGGGACCTCCGAGATTTTTCGCCCTTGTCCGAGAAGGCTAGGTGTAGATCTTTCCTACCAGAAGATCAGGGGTGTGGCAGAAAGACAGCAGTAAGGAGGAGCCAAGGAGTAGCAGTAGAAAGGCTGCAGAAAGAGTCAGGAGCCCAGAGGAAGGGGCAAAGGGGGCGAGGGGGTGGGGGCAGAAAGTGGAAATGAAAGCAGACAACAGAACATTGGTAGAGAGCAGGAAAGGAGGTGAAAGGAGACAATTTTAGACAAGAAAATTTTTGGTCGCTACCCGGATTCGAACCCGGGACCTTTGAATGAGAGGCCAACACCTTAACCTCTAGGCCACGAGAGCCCCCTAAATAGATCTGATATGGAGGGAGAGAGATAGGGAGGAAAAGGGGGGGGGAGGGGGGAGATAGAGTGATAAGGAGAGAGAGAGAGAGAGAGAGAGAGAGAGAGAGAGAGAGAGAGAGAGAGAGAGAGAGAGAGAGAGAGAGAGAGAGAGAGAGAGAGAGAGAGAGAGGGAGAGGGAGAGAGAGAGAGAGAGAGAGAGAGAGAGCAATGTTCTGTTGTCTGCTTTCAATTCCACTATCTGCCCCCACCCCCTCACCTCCTTTGCCCCCTCTTCTGGGCTCCTGACTCTTTCTGCAGCCTTTCTACTGCTACTCCTTGGCTCCTCCTTACTGTTGTCTTTCTGCCACACCCCTGATCTTCTGGTAGGAAAGATCTACACCTAGCCTTCTCGGACAAGGGCGAAAAATCTCGGAGGGCCTGTGTGCAAGTTGCGCACGTTAAAGATCCCTTGGTGGTCTAAAATCGATAAGAGTAGGCTTCGGCCGCCACCCGGGCAAAATTAAAAAATTTCCTACCAACTGAAAATATTAGGTGTGTCCCGCGCGCTCATATGACCTATGCAGTTGCGAGCGCCGTAAAACACTTTACAAAAACAAAAAAAGACTTAAACACCCCCCTAAAAAACAGCGACCTTGCTATCATCACTGGTTTCTGCAGGAGCAATAGAAAAGCCCCTGGCTAAGAACCACATTCATTGGTATGATGAGTCTTTTATACAGCTTTTTCTTTCTTAATCCTTACTATCGTCATTTTTCCTCTTACTTCTTTTGTATGTTTGTCACACTCTTGTGACCTGCTATTTCTGGGGTGCCTCGACATTCGAAGCAGACTTAATGTTGTTGGAGCTTGAGAGATGAGCTGAGTAAGTCTGATTCCCTGTAAGGACTTCTCTGTTGACATCCACCCCTTGGTGCTGATATGACCTTATGCAGTTGCGAGCGCTGTAAAACCTCTACTAAACCAAAAAAGCACAGTATATTACAATACGTTATATGTACACATTGCATGTGCTTGTACCAGTGTCTGTGGTATAGTTGTTAGGAGCTTCGCTGTCACAGGCAGGACACCTGAGTTCGATTCCAGAGTGGAGAGAAATTTTTATCGAGTATCTTGGTTTTTCTGTGGGGATGTTGTATCCCTCTCTGCCCGGGTTGGCTCTGACGGGCAGGGTCACAATCCTGCCTCGTAAATACAGTCCACCCTGCTCTAACAGCCACTTGCGTAAGATAATCACCTGTATGAACTGTCATTTCCCATTTCCTGTGTTGTGTATTTTTACGTTATAACGATACTGTGTAAGAAGGCCACTTTCTTTTTGACAATGGATTATCATCTTGGACAGTAGTTTTGACTATTTTAAATTGTGTTGATACTTACTTTACTTTTAGCAAACATCCATTGTAAAAAAGAACAAAAAACAACCCCCCCCCCCCCCAAAAAAAAAAAAATACGTACAAAATATAAAAAAAACGTGGAAAAACATGTGCTTATAAGGGATAAGGTAAGATAAGATAATACTTTTTTTATTGTGCCCAGAGGGAAATTTTTCCTGGCTGTACAGGACCGTAAAAACACACGCAGGTATACACAAAAATTGTAAATTATATAGTACTCTCATTAAAATTCAATATGGAAAGAGAAGTAAAGCCGACAGATAAATGTATATTCACACCAGACGCATCATTCAACCACGTGCAGGAATTTTAATTACAAGAGATGTTTGTTTTCTGTGTTCAGGAGGGACCCTGTTTGGTCTGGCTAAAGCCGGTGCGATGGGAGACATTGTGGATCTGAGCTTTACAGAGATCATGGTCTTCTCTTCTCTCATTGTGGCTGTGGATCCAGTGGCGGTGAGTTAATGGGTGTTTGGTGGGTGCCCTGGTGTGGTTTTTGCTCCTTATCTCGCTCCTTCTTTCCTATAAAAAAATCTATCGTCCTTATCTCTTCTCCGTGGGTGGTTGGCGGGTGCCCTGGTGTGGTTTTTGCTCCTTCTTTTACTATAAAAAATCAATTGTCCTTATCTCTTCTCCGTGGGTGGTTTGCGGGTGCTCTGGAGTGGTTTGCTTCTTCTTTCCTATCAAACATCTATCGTCCTGATCTCTCCTCCTTCTTTTTTATGTTTGTTACTCTCTTGTAACACCTCTAATCTTTGGCACTTATATGACCTTATTGTGTGGCAAGTGTCATAAAACACATACTAAAACAAACGATTATCTCTTCTTCTTTTTTTGCTATTTGGTACTCTCTTGTAGTACCTTTAATCTTTGGGTTTTATGTGACCTAATTGTATTGCAAGTGCTGTAAAACTCTTACAAAAATAAACAAAAGAAGGTGGGTCCTCGAGGATAACTTCTGATTTGTGAAGTTTTCTTTTAATTGGATTTGACCAGCTGCTGGGGCTTAATGATTATAAATGTTATATTTTTTACTCTCAATTTAATTGTCAATATTGCGACGGTGTATTTCACTTTTACTGAAAGTAAATCGCAATAACCTTTTGTTGTTCCTGCAGAGGTGGTTTAGTGGTAAGGCAGTTGGGATTGCAACCGAAAGGTCTTGGGTTCAAATCTCATCAGGGGCTGGAGATTGTTTCTTTGGAGAAGGCACTTTATATGAATTTCCCTCACTACAACCAGGTGGGAATGAGTACCTGGCTATAGACAGTGAAAGGTGTTAGAGTTTGAGATCTTAATCAGATGCTGGTTCTTTATGCTTCCCAGGAAGAGAAGCTGAGAATGTTTCTGAACGTTCTTGGTATCTGCTGGGGTAATGATAGTTGGTATGCACATAGAGCTTGCTGTCGAACTGTGGTGTGCACTAGGCAAATGCTCTTTGTGATAATAATAATAATGATAATAATAATAACAGTAATGATAATAATAATTTTTATTATTTTCATTTGAATATTTTTATGTATCTATTGTATTTTTTGTTGTTGTGATGATAAAGTCCCATCTCTCAGTACAAAGCAAGTGAAGAGCAAAGCCTACGTAGTTATTCCCCGTGACTCTCAGTTCACACGCTGACGCTGAGTGTCCGTGACAGTAGACCTGCTGTTAGTATTAATCCTGCTGAGCTTTTTTATGAATATTTAATATGCGCTGATGGATTGATGATACGGATACTGATTTTTCTCTTTCCTCTCCCCCCCCCCCCCCACCCTCCACCCTACCCCAACCTCCTCTTCCAGGTGCTTGCTGTCTTCAATGAGATTGGTGTCAACCATGTGCTGTATTTCCTTGTGTTTGGAGAGTCGCTGTTGAACGGTAAATATTGATTCTGTTAGTTTTGTTTTGCTTTTAGTCTGCTGTAGTTAAATGACTTATTTCCTAGAGAGGCCGTAGATGATTAGAGAATGGTACTGGTAGATTCTACCTCTGTACTCTTGCTCAATTGTTTTTTTTTTGTCTTGCCTGTTTTGCTGTTTATTTATTTATCTATTTATTTATCTATCTATTATGTTATTCTGTTTCCAGTAATGTACTTTATGATTTCCACTGTATCTATGAGCATATTTTTTTCTCAGAATAGAATAAAAGTGAAAAGTTATGGATCAGGTGGGGTATTATTGTACAGAATTTAGTAAGCCACATGCATGCATTATATAAATATCAAAAGGGAAAGGAAGTCTAAACAAATGTGAGGTGTGCTGACAAAATGAGTTACTTCTCCGATTTTAGCCTTATGGAAATTGATACATCAACATACTTTATAGGTGAAGTTTGTACAATTTGTAAGTATGGAAGAATAAAAGACATTGCAGACTTGAAAAAATGGCAAATGGCATCAATTAGAAATTTATAAATCTGACCGCAGTGTCAATTTTCGGCCGATATCTCCATTCTTGGACAGCAAGAAGTAACTCATTTTGTCAGCACACCTCACAAATACTGTTTAAAAAAAAGAAGCAGAGACGTTTTATTTAAATCTTGATATTACTTAAGAGTTATTATTTTCTCCCTCCTTTGATGAATAAACAAATTAAGGTACACAATCTTGCTTTGAAGATGACTACTTGGCTTCTGAAATGTACCTAGTAATACCTTGAAGGAGAAGAATGCCTTTTGTGTGATGATTATGTAGACAAGGCTTTTAGAAAGTTCTCATTGCTGTCAGTACTGCTCAATTCATTATTATTTTGTTTGTGCGTTGTTTGCTAGCTGGACAAGTCTGCGGACAGCTCATGCCCAGCTGGGGTTTTGAATATACTTATCTTTTTTCTCTTCACTTGTTTCTGATGTAAGATAAGATAAGGTAAATCTTTGTTCTCCAGATTCTGGCTAATTGGTTTTGTGTTTCACCTCGTACACACACACATGCGCACATGTACACCCACGCATGCATGCACACACACGCACACACTCACACACACACACACACACACACACACACACACACACAAGCACACTCTCACACACACACAGACATGCACACTCACACAAGCATACTCTCATGCACACAGGCACGCACACACACGCGCACACACACACCACACACACACACACACTTAATGACTTTGTGATCACTGATTTTACTTGCGAAAGTTGGTTAGTACTGTAAAAACTGTTTTTTTTTCTTTTCTTCAGACGGTGTTACAGTTGTGTTGTACAAAGTGTTCCAAGCATACAACGTTATGGATGAAATAAACGGAATACATGTAAGTTTTTTTGTTGCGCTTTGGTTTAATTATGCAGCCTGCAGTAAATCATATCTGTGTCATCATTGCCTTTTTCATCTTGCCACGAACTAACACTTTCTATCCTTCCCTATGTTGGACTAACTGCTAGAAATTATTTCGCTGCAGGGGGCTCTCGTGGTCGAGAGGTTACGGTGTTCGCCTCTCATTCAATGGGTCCCGGGTTCGAATCCGGATAGCGCCGGAAAATTTCCTTCCCTAAAATTGTTTTCTTTATCTCTAACAATTTTCTGTCATCTGCTTTCGTCTCCACTTTATACCTCCTCCCCTTCACCTCCTTTGCCTCTTCCTCTGGGCTCCTGACTCTTTCTGCAGCCTTTCTACTGTCTTTCAGCCGCACTACTGTCTTTCAGCCACACCCCTGGTCTTATGGTAGGTAAGATCTAACACCAAGCCTTCTCTGATAAGGGTGAAAAATCTTGGAGGTCTTGTGTGCAAGTTGTGCACGTTAAAGATCCCTTGGTGGTCCTAAATTGTTAAGAGTAGGCTTTGGCCACCACTCGTGCAAAATTTAAAAATTCCCCATCAAACTGAAAATATTTATTGTGTCCTGCCGGCTCATATGACCTTATGCAGTTGCGAGTGCCATAAAAGGCACACACACACACACAAAATTTGGCTGCAGTAAATATTGTTACAATAATAGTCATAATTGTTTATAGGGATCACAACACTCGCTTGATTAGGTCTCTGTTGAGGTGATGTACTACCGTTGTTGTGCTCTAACAAATCTTGACTGTGCACTGTAGTCTTTGTGGGTGGTTGGCAGGTGCTACTGTTTCCGTTTCTTTGTCTTACTTTCCCCGGGACGAAGTGACCGCTATTGTGTGGATGTCCTTCTCTTTACTCTGACTGTGAGAGGTTGGCGAGTGTTCTGATGTGATGTACTCATTCTTTCCTACCAAACGTCTAATGTTCTTATCTTTCCTTCTTTTATTTTTATGCTACTCTCTGGCAACACCTCTCATCTTTGGCATGTATATGACTTATTTGTGTTGCAAGTGTCTTAAAACTCTTACTGTCGGTGGTTGGCGGGTACTCTTATGAGGTTTGTTCCTTCTTTCCTATCAAACATGTACTGTTCTTGTCTCTCCTTTTTTTGTGTTTGTTACTCTCATGAAACAACTCTAATCTTTGGCACTTATATGACCTTATTTTGCTGCACAAGGGCCGTAAAACGCTTACTAAAACTAAAACATCTCTTGTCCTTGTCTCTCTTTCTTTTCTTTGTATGTCACTCTCCAGTAACACTTCTAATCTTTGTCAAGTATGTGATCTATTCGTGTTACAAGTGTCATAAAACTCTTACTAAAACTTTAAAATTAGACTTAATGGATGGTTGGCGGGTGCTCTGGTGTGGTTTGCTCCTTTTTTCTTATAAAAAAACTATCGTCTTTATCTCTCCTCCTTTCTTGTGTTTGTTTCTCTCTTTTTGTAACACCTCTAATCTTCGGCACATATATTACCTTATTATGTTGCAAGTGCCGTAAAACACTTACTAAAACTAAAAAAACTGGTACTGTAGGTGGTTGGCAGGTACTCTGTTAAAATTTGCTCCTTCTTTCTTATCAAACATGTACTGTCCTTGTCTCTCCTTTTTTGTGCTTGTTACTCTCTTGTAACAACTCTAATCTTTGGGACTTATATGACCTTATTGTGTTGCAAGTACGGTAAAATGCTTACCAATGCTAAAACATCTCTTGTCCTTATCTCTAGAGCTTTATTTCGTCTCTCCTCCTTCTTTTTTGTGTTTGTTACTCTCTTGTAACACCTCTAATCTTCCGCACTTATATGACCTAATTGTGTTGCAAGTGC